TATATATATGTATTAATATATGTATTTATTCATATACATATACATGTAAGATATATGCATATATATATATATATATATATATATATATATTATATATATATATATATATATATATATATTTATATATATATATATATATATTATATATGTATTTATCCATATATATACATGTATAATATATGCATATATATATATATATATATATATATATATATATATATATATATATATAGATAGATAGATAGATAGATAGATAGATAGATAGATAGATAGATAGATATAGATATAGATAGATAGATGATAGATGATAGTGTGTGTGTGTGTGTGTGTGTGTGTGTGTGTATATATATATATATATATATATATATATATATATATATATATATATATATATATATATATAAGTACGCACACACGAGATCAATGAGCATATTTCCCGCCATTTTTATTCATGAAGAAAAATTATGAAAATAAAATTATTTGTTCAGGATAATAACTTAAGATTTCACAGGTGTTTGAAAAAATAAATCACTTATTAACATGATGATGATTGATGTTCGTCATTGTACCAACTGATGCGATTTTATTCTTTTTTTAATGAAAAATGAAATCGATACTGTAGATAAGAAATTATCTATATTACGATTTAAATATCAAAATATACCATAATATAAATTATTCTGAATATTAATGTCTAAAGATTTGTGATTGACCAAATAAATGATATTTAAAACTTTCAAGAAATGTTTATGTGGATCTCCGTGGCAATGTCCGCGCACGCTTCCCGCTGCTCGGTCTTCAGCAAGTCCAAAACAAACGGGCAACCATGGTGCGTAACTTTCCTGAAAATATCTTAAATCATCTGACTTAGATTTTCATTTTTTGACTAATATATAATGAGAATGTATAGTTTAGATACCTGTTTGTGATCTAGTGAGATACATTTTGTGTAATTTGTTAAGGATCGTGCTGAAAATTTACTCTAAATATAGGGAGTGCTCGTTTGTTTACGATGATGAAACACGAATCGTGAAAGTCATGTGTAAGCTCAAATAAGAACTAAATACAGTAATAATCAAGCCAAGAATACAGTTAATTACGATTATTTCCCAAAACGATTCCTCATTTTTTCATATTAACCCCCAATTTCCTCCCAGGCCAAACGTACAAGGAAGGCTGGCATCGTCGGCAAGTACGGCACCCGATATGGTGCTTCCCTCCGTAAGATGGTGAAGAAGATCGAAATCACGCAGCACATGAGGCACCTGTGTTCCTTCTGCGGCAAGGTAAGCTCGAGGGACACGTGTTGGTGGAGGGACTTCTGGACGAGAGTAAAGGGGGACGTCTTGTCATCTCTTGCGTAGGGTATTCCTCTCTCGTAAACGGTTGGTTCCCTTCTTTTGTGATATCTAGCTAAGAGGGGGAAATGAGTGAAAAGTGTAAGGGCCAGTGAGAAAGGAAGTACGAATTAAGAGAAAGGGATCGAAACCCCATGCGTCACTTTTTCGCCTATGTAACCGTGGTGCTTGTGTGAGAGGAAGGCCTACGGCAAGCATGATTGGCTGCCTGGCCTGAGTCACCGTTTGTTGCCTATTTGCCAGCTCGTCTGAAGGGGAGTAGTGTGTATCACAACCTCTATTATTTATTTGATTAAATATTTGCATCAAGATGTAGGTTGATCATTATATACGCAGATATGTATAGGATTGTTTCACTGTATATATGTGCTACTGCACACTACAGAAAGTTAATAGAAAATGAATGTGGTGTGTGATGAAAGAACTATGGCTTCCAATTTGATATGGAGGCTGGTCAGTTACAGTAATTTGCTTACCTGTCAGTAAGAAAACCAAATAGATATTGGATAGGTGGGGGGGGGGGGGGGGAGATAAATGTAGGAAGATAGTAATCTGTACAATCAAATATGCAAATGAGAAACCATGTGAAATTTAGGGATATGCATGTGATTGTGGTTCTGCAAGGGATGTGAAAATAGGCAAAACTTATCCATGCTGTATTTTTAACAGGTGTTTCCAAAGGACCATCTGAAAGTTTAAAACAAATTACATGTATTAGTCATTGCGACATGAACGCACTCAGTCAGGGCAAAATTTTAGTTGACACGATAATTGGCAGACATGAAAGGTAATCCCACATGAAAAAGAATAAAAAGAATATGCCTTTTCATAGCCTAAGATTCGTGTTACCTAGATGGATGCACAGAGATAGAGGTTTAAACAATCACTTACTCTGAATTAAATCCAATCAGACCATGCATGGTTGAGACTGCTCAAAGCTGTAATATTGGTTTGTTACTAAGAGTGACACACTCTCCAGAGACCAAGTCTTGATACGAGGGTATCATGCAAAACCTAATATCTAAACCTATTCATTTCTACTTTCTCTTTATTTCCTAGACTTGGGATAAGCCCCCATTTACCTCCCTTTAGTAGCACTTTGAGCCAATTTAAAGGAAAGGTGGTCTTAAGAACTGGCTATGTGAGGGGGTTGTTTGGTGATGTGCAGCAGATATTTTGGTAAATGTTCACAACTGACAAAATCCCACGACTCCTCCCAATGATACTGGGGGATCCCCTTGGGGAATAAGGGGTTGGGGGGGAGTGATTTCACTCATATCGGGCATTTTAAAACAAATGAATGTAAAAATTGAAATCCTAGACAAGAGTATTTCATATGATAGTGGAAAATTTAAAACTCGGAACAAGATTCACCCACGGATGATTCGACTCGGTGTAGCAGGAACAAGCAAGCGAGTGAACCTCTTCCTAAATGCACAAACTACCAGAAGGATCGCTATATGAACCAAAAACGATTGGACGGCTATGGCCCCAAAGCTCCTCCAGATTGTCGTGTTTCCCTACACCCCTGGAACCCCTCCAGATCGCCACAGATTACACTTAGAGATACAAATTGAGTTTACCTTAATCATGAGGGGATGGTGGCTTGGAAGGGACGAACCACTGATAAAATTCTCTTAATTGGAAAAAGGTAATTGTATTTCACTGGAAAAACTAGTAGCACTGGAACAAGTGATGAGTTGTCAAGTCTGCCGGGAGAGGGCAGCAATGCACAAGTATGGATGTACTATAGGTTTCTAATGGAAATATGGTAATATGGTATGTATGTAATAAAATCGATCACATCATGTACGTAAGGAATGAACATTTAACAAGTGCTATATTCGTTAAGTTTTCCTATAAATTAGAAAACAAATGTGTCAAAGTACAGTGCACTCTAAGAAATACAGCTTGACATCACAAGCTACATGCGCCACGACATTTTGTTGGGTTCTCGCTCGGCTAATTTTTTCACTATGAGGTGAGGACAGGTGGACTTAGTTGCTGGAGGGGTGTGGGCATTCTGCATGCCACATTTTTGTTTGAACTCAAATAGGTTAGGTATTGCAGATTAATTTTGATAGCAATGAATGGACACCACCACCTACCACTCTAAACCCTGCCTTCCAGACATATCACACTGAAAAAATAAAACTGAGGTTTAAGATCAATATATTTTTTATTTTTTTATTTTTTTATTTTTTTATTTTTTTTTTTTTGCCTCGGAGGGCTGCTATATTGATATCGAGATGTACGCTCGCCCAATGTAGTATTGCCTTTCATCGGCTAGTGCCAGTAGACAAGGTTTGCTCAGTGTGCTTTAGTAGTTGTAAATCTAGCTGTTGTGGGGCTAAGGGTTGAAAACCAGGATATTAGATGGCAAGTTTTTGAGGCATTTCATGATAACTTTTAGAAAATGAACATTTAAAACTCTGGCTGTGTGAGGGTGTTGTGGACTTCATATCTGAGCAGTGATATGCAACAAACGTTTTCGTCACTTCACTGTAAATATAAGGCCGCTGCAGCTGTACCTATGTTACTTTTTACTACATTTCTTGTGCTCTATAAGATGGAGGTGTCCATTTATCCCTATCTCTGTGCTTTGCTCTTGGTAACTTGTACCAAATAAGGAACACTCATGCCTGATGATATATAATGATGTGTTGGCTTTTACTTGTGTTCAATGACCCTGGATTGCTGATGTCACAAGCAGCAAGAAGCCCAACCCAATGACTAATCATATATATGGATATGCTTATAAACAAAATTATAGGCATATCTATCTGATAGTTATTCATTTATTTACCTATTTGATGGATGTGCATGTGTAGACTGATATCCATTTATTTCTGTATATATGCATATCTATGAATATTAATTGGGGCTGGCGTTGCACAGTTTTAACAAACTGGCCGTAGGTTATTGTATATTTTTTCTGGAACTGTGGTAAAAGAAAAATCTTAGGATTATTTTTAGTAGTAGATTTACAAAGTAGATGAATAAATGAATAAAGAGATTGAAACTGTAAGCAAAATTAAGACAATTCAGCAACTTTTCATTATTAGAAGGTTATATCACACTGCAATAATTTTTTTTCAATTGTTTATGGACCTAATTTGAATCACATTAAACCTGTAAATGTCAGGAAATCCAGGTGCAGCATATTTTCATTTGCATTTAATTTTTGTGATTCAGTTGAGAATATTTATCTTGTCAAGTGTAGTCTCAATATGGATTGGTCATTTGTGGGTTATGTCATTTGTAAATCAACAACTGGAGGTTGAGTATTTTATGGAAATGCTTTTACAACTCTTGAAATCTAAATGAAGTAGTTTCCAGAAATTTAGTACTTTTTTTTTTTTTTTCTTCCTTTCATAGCATTCCATTATTTACATTTTATAAATGACTGTAGATGGATGTTTGATAGGCTTTTCATTGAATATGGTGATTAATGGTTGTTTACTTCCTTTGCAGGAGGCCATGAGACGCCAGGCTGTCGGCATTTGGTCTTGCAAGCCCTGCCGTCGCACAGTCGCTGGAGGAGCCTACACTTACACCACAGTCGCTGCTGCAAACGTGCGCTCCTTCATTAGGAGGAACAAGGATATCAAGGAGAGGGAAGGTTAAATAAAATGGCCAAACTGTATTGCTGATTTTTCATTTTATCCTTCATGGTGTTAATCTTTGAATGATGTATTTATAACCAACAAAGTACAAACAAAAATCAACTGGCATTGTATGTATTTAAATGTTTAAACACTGGCATTTTTTTCCTCCCAGTTGGTGATTTCATAATTTGTTGTATTGCATCATTTTATAGTCTGTGGTTTGCTGTAAAAGTTTCGTCAAGTTAATTAAATTACTTGAATAAAGTTGTGCTTTACAACGGTAAATTACATGGCATTCCCACTGTTTAATTTAGTAATTGTTTTTACATGTACATGGCTCCACAAGCACCAATGAGCCAATTACAAGAAGTACCTGACTTACATGATTACTATTTTCCTTGATTTCTGATAATTTTTAGTATTTAATACTGCTGTTAATAATGACAATAACAATATAGTAATTTTAATGTTTATAACAAAAATGATATCAATATTGATAACACTAGTAAAAAAAAATAATCCTAGCTCAGGAAGGGAAAGGTCACAAGATCTATCAATTGACTCCTTTGTAGCTTGGCACTAACAGGACCATCTATGTGCAGACACGTTTAACAAAACCATACTAAAGAATCCAACGTTTTCCCGGAAGCGTTGGTGTTTGACAAAGGAAATAAAAGTAAAACGAGACAGCTGATATTTATTATAGGAAGAAAAGTAGTGAAATGTACACTAATATGGTCAATAATGAAACGATGAAAGGTGAAGTATGTCTATTGATAAAAATTCCAGGTCATTACAGAAGAAATGAAGTAAACAGCTTACAATGAGTAAAATATAAAAAATAAATTGCTTAAAGCAGAGGTCGGCAACCTTAGGCACGCTATTGATATTCAGAGGAGTTAAGAAAGTTACAGCAAAAAGACGTTATGGTCAACTAAATTTTAAAATCGATAAATATAGGAAACTACCGGGAATGATCACACAGCCTCCATATTAAGTTCCGTGACACCACTGATAAATTCAATAACATGAGGAAAGTAGCCTTGGCATTGCTATCGGCATTTGGATCTATATACGAATGCGAGCCAGATGTTTTCACACATGCAGCATACCCTCTGCCCCTATCACTTCAGGCTTACAGCAGATCACACTGAGGGTTGTTTGAAGCTCAGTGTGTCCAGATACTAATATGGTGAGTATAAATCTTAAATTATAAAACATTTTTCGTTACAAAGAATATTAAATACTATACGAATATGTTGTACATGTGCAATGATACATTTGGGGATACAGTGCCGAAATAAAACTGGCACGAAAGATTATGAATAAGTCATTTATTATAAACTGGCACACAAATGTTCAAAAGGTAGCCGACCTCTGGCTTAAAGGCTTGCCCACGCGCGCAGCTAAGAGTAACGATGACGTCACAGGCGACCAAGCGCCGTAAGCAAGTGGTTTCGTACTTTTTTCTCGCCCATAACGTCACCTATGCGGGTACCCGAAGACCGTGGCCGCTCGCATTGACGGGTTTCAATAAACTACATGTCATGAGTCTTCGATGTTGTAAAAGTCAGTGACCTCAGCTGCCGGATCGACAGAAAGAAATAACTTGACTTAGGGAAGTAGTCTGGTATTTATCAGCATATTAACACCCGTACACCCATAAGAAAACTTACACGCTCTTTATCTTTGGCTACCATTTACTGTATAATACAAGATCACAAATAACTAACGCTGACTTTATACCATCACGAGTCTGTATTATGGAGTGACGTTTGGCGGAGAGGGATAATGTTGAACGTGGCTGTTTCCGTAGCAGCCTGTGTGCCATGGCTCCGGCACGGCCAGCAGCACGCCTCTGAGCTCTGCCAGGTTCTGCCGCCACCACCGCTGTCACTTGGCGGGTCAGCCGTTTGCATTCGTGATCGTGGACGCGAGGCGAGGCCCACGCGATAACTGGTGGCTATCACGCCGTGTCGCAGCCCGCCCACGCACGCTGCCACGGCCGCCCAGCCCTCGCCGTAAACA